ATATCTCCGTATATCCCTTTAGTTGCAACATATCTGTGTCTTTATATTTAAAGTTTTTGTTGGTTTGTTTTAAAACGTTTGTTTGTTTTAAAGACAGGGTCTCACTCTGTCACCCAGACTGGAGTGCAGCAGCATGATTCAGCTCACTGCAGCCTCAGCCTCTCGAGTTCAAGTGATCTGCCCACCTCAGCCTCCTGAGCAGGCTGGACCAAGGTGCATGCCAGCATGCCTAAGTTTTGTATTTTTCTGCAGAGATGGAGTTTCACCATGTTGCCCAGGCTGGTCTCAAACTCCCCTGGGCTCAAGCAATCTGTTCACCTCATCTTCCCAAAGTGCTGGAATTACAGGTGTGTATAACTGTGCCTGGTCCTAAAGTGGTTTCTTATAGACAACATATAGCTGGATCTCCTCCCACCACTCCAACAATCTGTGTATTTTAATTGGTATATTTAGACCATTCACATTTAAAGTGATTACTGAGGCTGGGCATGGTGGCTCATGCCTGTAATCCCAGCAATTTAGGAGGCTAGGACAGGTAGATCACTTGAGCCCAGGAGTTCAAGACCAGCCCAGGCAACGTGGCAAAACCCTGTCCCTATTAAAAAATACAAAAATTAGCCAGGCATGCTGGCACACACTTGTGGTCTCAGTTACTTGGGAGGCTGAGGTGGGATGATCACTTGAGCCCAGGAGTTTCAGGCTACAGTTAGTCTCTATGGCACCACTGCACTCCAGCCTGGACGACTGCACTCCACTCTGTCTCCAGTGGTTGCCCTAGAATTTGCCATATATACTAAATCTAAGTTCATCTGAAGTAACACTATACCACTATACCACTTCACCTTTAGTCCAGGTATGTTACAACTGAGTATTCCCAATTCCTCTCTTCCATCCTTTATAACATTACTGACATTCATTTCATTTATCAATGTTGTAATCACCCAACGTACTGTTACTTTTATTATTTTGAATTAACAGCTATCTACCAGATCAATTTAGAATAAGAAAAATAAACTTTTTAAACTTTTATTCCTTCTTCCATGCTCTTCTTTATATAGATTTGAGTTTCTGATCTCTATCACTTTGCTTTCCCCTAAAAAACTTCTTTTAATATTTCTTGCATAGCATGTCTCTAGCAACTAATTTCCTCAGCTGCTATTTGTCTGAAAAAGTCTTTATTTCTCCTTTACTTTTGAAGGATGATTTCACTAGATAGATAAATCCAGGTAAGTGCTATTTCTCATTCAACACTAAATATTTCACTCCATTCTCCTCTTTGTTGAATGGTTTCTGACAAGAAGTTCCCTGTAATTCTCATCTTTGTTCTTCTATAGGTAAGGCGCTTTTTCCTCTGCCTATTTTCAAGATTTTGTCTTTGGTTTTCCGCAACTTAAGTATGACATATGTAGGTGTAGATCCTAAGTATTGACCCTGCTTAGTGTGCTCTGAGATTCCTAGACCTGTGTTTTGTCATCTGGCATTAAGTACTTCAACTCTTACCTTCTCCATTTTCTCTTCCTTCTTGATCTGGTATTTAAATTATGCATACGTTACACCTTTTGAAATTGTCCCACAACTCTTGGATGTGCTGTACTTTTATAAGTTATTGTTTTTTCTCTTTGCATTTCAGTTAGGAAAGTTTCTATTAACCTATTTTTCCAGCCCACTGATTCTTTCCTCAGCTGCATCCAACCTGCTGGCGAGTCCATCAAAGGCATTTTTCATTTTTGTTACAGTGTTTTCTAATATTTCCTTTTGATTTTTTCTTAAGAGTTCCCTACTGTCTGCTTGCATTACCCATCTGTTCTTGCATGCTACTTCTTCCATTAGAGTCCTCAACGTAGTAATCATGATTACTTTAAATTCCTGACCTGATATTTCTAAAACTGGAAAAAGTATATATCTGACTCTGGTTCTGATGCTTGCTTTGTCTCTTCGGACTGTTTTTTTCTTGCCTTTTACAATGCCTTCTAATTTTATTTTTGGCTTAAAGCTGGACATGATATATCGAGTAATAGGAATGAGGTAAATAGATCTTTTATGTGAGGCTATATGTTAATGTGGCTAGAAGCTGGGCTATGCTTTTTTTGTTTTTTAAGACAGGGTCTCACTCTGTTGTCCTGGCTGGAGTGCAGTGGCACTATCTTGGCTCACTGCAACCTCTGCCTCCTGGGTTCAAGCAATTCTCCCACCTCAACCTCCCGAGTAGCTAGGAGTACAGGCTTGTACCACCATGCCTAGCTAATTTTTGTATTTTTAGGAGAGACGGGGTTTCATCATGTTGGCCAGGTTGGTTCAAGCAATTCTCCTGAGTTCAAGCAATTCTCCCACCTCAACCTCCCGAGTAGCTAGGAGTACAGGCTTGTACCACCATGCCTAGCTAATTTTTGTATTTTTAGTAGAGACGGGGTTTCATCATGTTGGCCAGGTTGGTCAAGCACTCCTCACCTCAAGTGATCTGCCTGCCTTAGCCTCCCAAAGTGCTGGGATTACAGGCATGAGCCACCGCGCCTGGGCAGGGCTATGCTTACTGTTTTCTATAGCTACAGGTATCAGAAACTTCAGTTTCCTTTAATGTTCTTGCTTTTTTTTTTCTCCGTTGTCTTTGGTTTTCCCTAAGAAATCCTTCTTAAATACAGTTTGTGTCTTGTAGCTCCTATAGTTATAATGTACTATTATTAAGGTAGAGGCCTATAGACATGGTCTTAAAATGAGGAGGGAAGCATCCTTTAATGTAAAGATTAAACCTCAGTCTTTCAGTGGGCCTGAATGCCTGTGCTGTGATCTTCAAAAGTGTTTGTCATCTTTTTTTCTTCTCCTGCATGTGAGACAGGAAGGCTAGGGGAAGATGGAGTTGGCTAACTGCCTTTCCCCCAGGTTGGATAAAGTTCTGGAACTCTTTTTCCCTGGAAAGTAAGCCATGTTATTGAGAATATTCTGGACATACTGCAAAATGCTTACTTCTCTTCTACCCTTAACAAAAACCATAGGGGACATTTCTCAAATTTTCACAAAAGAACCTGATAAGATTCCTAGAGGTAATACCCATGAAAGTGAGGAAGTCCCCCAAGAATAGGCTTGCAGAAGTTTGTTACTCTTAAAATAGTCTGTACTTTACCCCCAGCAATTCATCAAAATCACCATTTATGTATTCTACATCAATGGCTCTAGTGTCTTCTGCTTCACATAAGCTGATCTTCATTGTATTTCCTTGTCTCTCTAGATTTCAGGTGACAATTTGTCCTGTGACCTCAATTCTCTGAAAGGTCTAAGAAAAATGAGTTTTAGTTTTGTTCAGCTTTTTTCTTTTCTTTTTTTCTTTCTTTTTTGAGACAGAGTCTCACTCTGTCACCTAGGCTGGAGTGTAGTGGCACAATCTTGGCTCATTGCAACCTCTGCCTCCCAGGTTCAAGCAATTCTCATGTCTCAGTCTCCCGAGTAGCTGGGATTACAGGCGAGCACCACCATGCCTGGCAATTTTTGTACTTTTAGTAGAGGTGCAGTTTTGCCATGTTGGCCAAGCTGGTCTCAAATTCCTGGCCTCACTTGATCCACCTGCCTTGGCCTCCCAAAGTGCTGGGATTACAGGCATGAGCCACCACACTCAGTCTCAGCTTTTTTCTTATTGCAATGAGAGAAGTGACAAATTCCAAGTTCTACATGTCAGAGCTGAAACTGGAAGTCCACTATTTATTTAAAAAACATTCTATGCTAAATATTTTCTTAATGTATAACATATGCCACCTACAAGTTTTAAACAAGTAATAAGTAAATAAATGTTGAAAAAAATACCCTAAAAACCTAAATGTAACTATTTCACTAACATTTAAGATACACACTTCATCATGATATTGTCATAGGTGAAAAAGCACTAAAAATATGGTCCCTGGTGCTGCTATTTCTAGATGCTTACTTCAGCCTAGAAAATATCTGAGCTATTACACAAAGTATTACTCATTCAAAAATCTCATCTCTTAGTGCCAAGGTGCTAATGTCTGTTAGGCTTTAGGTTGAAAATGTTTAAGCATAATTAAAACAAAACATTATGAAGTTTTAGTATTTCTTTTCAACCTTTAACTTATAGGATGCTGATTTTTTATTTTCTTATTCAGTTTTCCATACTAAATTTTTTAATAAGCACATATAACTTTTTAATCTAAAAATACAATAAAGGAAGGTAATCCATTTTGAAAATAAATAGAAAATTATACAACATGCTCCCTGCGGCTAAACGGTCAGCTGCAAATACAAGGTTTTTTGCAGACTCCACAGAGTCTCTCCTAACCCACACTGTGGTTTCTCCTTTGTTTACTCCTTAGGTGTCTACATGATTAGCAGGCCACGGTTTATCACTTAATTATTCTCTAAATATGAGAGAAAAAGCTTCTTTAAAGTAAAGAACATGGTTTATAAAAGGGGTTCCCAACCCCCGTCTGTGACCTGGCCACACAGATAAAGGTGTGCGATGGGCGAGCGAGCATTATCGCCTGAGCTCTGCCTCCTGTCAGATCAGCGGCAGCATTAGATTCTTATAGGAGTACCCTACTGTGAACTGTGCATGTGAGATCCAGGTTGCACACCTGATAATCTGAGGTGGAACAGTTTCATTTCAAAACCACTCACCCCTCCCCAGTCTGTAGAAAAACTGTCTTCCCCAAAACTGGTTCCCAGGTGCCAAAAAGGTTGGGGGCTGCTTTTTCCCCACCATTCCTCCTAGTACAACCCTGGGAAAATAATACATGATCAAAAAACACACAATTGATTACTAATTGGTAAATAAAGAAGCCAAGTCATAGATTGCTGTATCTACCCATATTCTTACAGAAAACTACCTAAAGAGTTAAAATGTCTCTAAAAATCCTAAGTTTACCAAAATATGGAACCACAGGCCTAACACCACAAGCAGGTTTCCACTGGTGTAACTCTTAACCTTAGCAGGCTTGCTAGAAACATGACCCTCCACTCACTGTAAAGGAAAGTAGATATTAACAAGGACATACCCTCTGATGTTGTAAGAATCTTCTTGTCTTTGGGAGCCAACACATGACCAGCATGACTGATAGTCCAAACTGGAAAGCGTCTGTTTGTCAAAGAGTATAAAGCCTTTGCAAATGGCACATAAAAGGCAGAAAAACCTGGGTTACCTAAGAAAAGAAACACAGACCTTAGATTAATCAAAGTAATAAATATGTATAAGATGACACGCAGACTAGAAAAGATGGGTCTGTTTCTTTTCACACTTTCCTCTGAATTCTTCAGAGTACCCAAGAGAGATTATCTTCAAACTTCCATTAAAATCACAGCAGTACTCTATTTAAACACCCTTCAGGGTCTTCCAGATAAAGTCATCTGGAAAAAGTCTAAAATTAGTAATACTGCATATAAGGCACTTCAAGATTTGGTCATGCTCAGTTAACAAGGTGCATGAAAACCAGAGAAACAAGCCAGCCAAAATAGTGTAAGAAGCATGCACAGGGAGAGCTTTAAGGAGTCTACTGTTTCCTTGTCACTTATCCCTAATAGTACAATTATAAACAGGTGTACAGCTTGATCTTTTGGGGAAACAAACGTCCACAAGTACATGTAGTTTTTTCTTATGTGTGTGCAGAAGGTATTTTTGACATGAGTTTGCTATAAAGAAACAGAATAAATAAATGATCTTTTTAAAAACATTCAATCTGATATATCTGTAGGGGGAAATCATAACGAAATGGGATTTTCATCTTGTAATCATCATCTATATAAAGTCTTCACAGCTACTAGTCCATTTCCATCAGTATCTACTTCTCTGATCAGTTTATCTATTTCTTCATGTTGTTAGGCTTTCTGGTCTCTGCAATTACATGACATGGTTCTGGAGCACTGATGTAAATAACCACGGTCATCCTTGTCAAATTTCACTGATTTCTACTCAATTGTTTATGTCTTTCAGTTTGCTACATAAGCAGTGTAATAAAGTGATTAAGAGCATAGACTCTGGAGCCAGACTACCTGGGTTGGAATCTTGGCTTTGCCACTTACCAACTGTGTGAGCTTTGACCAAGCTATTTAACCTCTCTGTGCCTTGGTTTCCTCATCCACAAAATGTGCAATAATGGTACTACCTCATTTGAAGAGTAAGTGAATCAATATATGTAAAGCATTGTAACACTGCCTGAAACATAGTAAGTATTATATAAATGTTAGGTATTCAAACTTGTACAACAATGTCTAGCTTTAATGGTATTATACAATGGCCTTAGCATCCACATTATTTTGCTTCTGTTGCATTCTGACCTAGTGACCCAAGTTCCAAATTCCTTTTTGTGATGGTGCTTTTGGCTTCTTTGTCAAATAGGATGAAAACTTCCTCAAATGCAGAAATATGTTCTTTGGTCAGTTTATTGGCCACTGCATAGCTAAGGAAGAAAGAAGGGAGGAAGGGCATAACAGCACTGGGGCTGTAACATCTATGGAAGCTGTGGGTGGCACTTTTTCATGTTTTATGCATTTAAGTCTTCAGTAAGTTTAGAATATTTTTTAGTATAAAAGACTAAGTAGCAATCCAACTCTTTTCCAAGTGACTGGCCAATTGTTCCAAGACCATTTATTATATAATCCATTCTTTCTGCACTGATTTGAAATATCTTCTGACCCAATACTACCTTTTTACATTCGCTTGCTAATTCCTATACCAAATAATTCAGTTTATTTTTCCTTTTCTCCTCTGCCAGGCCATACTGTCTTAATTACATTTTTTTTTTTTTTTGATATGTTAACCGGTAGGGCAAATTCCTTCCCTTTATTTTTCTTTTTCTAAATTTTCTAAGCTGGTCTCATAAACTTTAGGGTTATTTTTAGTAGTTTCAATTTTTAAAAATCTCTTTGAGATTGTGACTAAAATTTCATCTCATTAATATATTAATTTATAAAAATTGTATATTTTTATATTACTGAGTATAACCTTCTAGGAATGTGTTATACCTCATATTCACATGTTTTATGTTGCTCATAGATTTCTTCATATGGCTAGAAAATAATAATAGCTAATATTTTTAGGTGCTATAATTTACTACATGCCAGGCAGTGTTTAGGTGCTTTACATGTATTGTTTAATTATCATATGAGGTAGCACTATCATTACTTCCATTTTATGGATGAGGAAACTAAGTACAGTGAGGTTAAATAACCTAGCCAACATCACATATATGGCAAGTGATAAATAACTATTTGATGACTGGAAGTATATACAAAAGAAAATCATAAGACTGAATTTTTAAAAAATATCAGTAATCTGGTATAGGATCTTCTGCATTCCTTGTTTTAGTTAGTCTTACAATATCTCTATAAAGTAGTTAGCATTTTTCATTAGAAATAATGAATGGATAGCCACTAGAACAAAACTTGGTATATGGTAGGGGCTGCATAAATGGCAGCTATTAATACTACAGCTATTATAACAACTAAAAATTGGTATAACATTAAGGAGACATCAAAGATAACCCCATGATTTAGATGTAAGTTACAATGACAGGATATACAAAAAACAGTGAGTACTAGACAATGGATACTTAATGCATGAGGGCATTAAAACCTAGATGATGGGTTGATTGGTGCAGCAAACCACCATGGCACATGTATACCTATGTAACAAACCTGCACATTCTGCACATGTATCCCAGAACTTAACGTACTTTTTTTAATGAGGAAGAATAAATAAATGAATAAAACAAAGTTTTCTCCCTATCTCTGGGTTTAAGTCTGAGTTCTTAAGCTTTCTGATCCACAATTTTATCATCTTCAAGTAAATGATGATGCCAATTACTTATATTCATTCATTCTATTCAGAATTACAGCTTCTTTTAGCCCTCAATTATTTATTGAGCACTTACTGTATGAAAGTCATTATGTCAGGCAAAAGACAGATGAGGGCCTTTTTGGAATTTATGTACTAATGGGAGAATATACAGCACATAACTAAATAGGTGAGATAATTAAAGAGTGTGAGAACTCCTATAAAAGGAATAAATAGGGTCATATGATAGAGAGGGGAAGAGAATACAGTGAAAAAAAGGTCTGAGGAGGTGACATTTACCCAAGACCCCAAAATGGCAAGAAATAAGCCTTGTGAAAATTTGAGGGAAGAGAATAAATACTAAGGAGGGAGAAGGTCCTCAAGAAATAAAGATCTTAGCTCTTGAAGAAATGGGAGACAGTCCATAATCCTTGGTTCCTCCCTTTGCATCTAATCTATCAGTGTGGCTAAAGCATAACGAGAGATATCAAATCTTGTATGAGATCAGGTTGAAGAGAAAGAAAAATACAATCATTTGATACCTTTTGGGCCATGATAAGTGATTTGGCTTTTAATCTAATTAACATTAAAAGAGTTTGAGCAGGGTTAAGGTATAATTAGATTTAAATTTAAAAAAATTTTCTATCTTAAAAGAGTAATTAGGAAAAATACGAAAATTTTCATAGCAATACATTTAGCAACTTAGATAAAATAGACAAACTTCTAGAAAGACAGAAACTATCAAAGTTCACTCAAGAGAAACAGATAACCTAAGTAGCCCTAAATTGATTAGATTAATTGGAATTTAAGTTAAAAATCTTCCCACAAAGAAAATCCAGGCCCACACAGCTTCGCTGGTGAATTCTATCAAACATTTAAGGAAGAAAAATGCCCAATCTATACAAACTCTTTCAGAAAATAGAAGAGAAATGTATTAGCCTGTTTTCATGCTGCTGATAAAGACATACCCGAAACTGGGCAATTCACACACAAAAGAGGTTTAATGGACTCACAGTTCCACATGGCTGAAGACGCCTCACAATCATGGTGGAAGGCAAGGAGTAAGTAGCAAGTCACGTCTTACATGGATGGTAGCAGGCAAAAAGAAAGAGTGTGTGCAGGGGAACTCCTCTTTATAAAACCATCAGATTTCATAAGACTTATTCACTATCACAAGAACAGCATGAGAAAGACCTGCCCCCGTGATTCAATCACCTCCCACTGAGCCCCTCCCACAACACGTGGAAATTGTGGGAGTTACAATTCAAGATGAGATTTGGGTGGGAACACAGCCAAACCACATCAAGAAAGAAATATATTCTAACTCATTCTATGAGGCCAGCATCACCCTCATACCAAAACCACATAAAGACACTGCAAAAAGAAAAAGAAAAAAGAAAACTACAGACCACTATCCCTTGTGAACAAAGATGGAAAAATTCTAAACAAACTTTTAGCAAACTGAGTCCATCAAAATGTTGAAAGTATAATATATCATGACCAAGTGGGATTTATCACAGGAATGCTGGATTGGTTTAACATTCAAAAATTAACATTATCTACCACATTAACCAACCGTAAAAGAAAAATCATATGATCCTCAACAGATGCAGAAAAAATGGAAGTTTTATCCTGTCAGAAATATACTTAATATTGTAGCATGTATAACATACCAAACTTGTAAGTTTAACTTCTTTAAAAGTAGCCATCATTTGCTATAGTTCCCTGTATCCAGTGGCACCAAGCAGCACTAGATTGGGCACATGGCACTCACATACAATAAATCCTTTCAATCTGAATGCATAGCAAGTAACGTAAAGGTCTAACTCATAACACAGACAGAAGTGGAAAATGCAATGCAAGATGCTTAAATACCATTGCATACAGTACTTCATACTTCACCACTTAAACCTCCTTGTTAAAAAACCACAAAGAAAATTAAAAGGTCCATGTTTATGCAACTAAACAAGACACACACATGGAGGGGTACAGGGGAGATCCAGGTGTAAGGATGTTGGAAAACATTCCAGTGCAGACATGCAAGTAAAATATTTAATCAGAAGTTTACATCAAAATGTGTTATAAACACACACTTGAACATGCTCGTAACAGTCAAATCAGTCAAATACCCATGCAATGTATAACAGAAGTTGTAGGGATCATCTCTAGGCCCTGACTGCTAATAAACTCCAACTATACAACACTGCAAGTATAGACTTATGCCTTCCAGTTAATTTTGTAGGGAAGGGAACGAAAACTGCCACATATCAAGTTAATATGGCACAGCATCTATATAATAGATTGCCATGTAGACAGACCTATTGGACTCATTCATGGAGCCTTATCTGCTGGATCTCCAACCACTGTACT